AGTGATCCTAGTAGCCATCTTCTGAACTCTATACCCTGTAGGGTAACACTTCCATCACTGGAGTCATCCTAGTAGCCATCTTCTGAACTCTTTCTACCCTGTAGGGTAACACTTCCATCACTGGAGTCATCCTAGTAGCCCTCTTCTGAACTCTATACCGTGTAGGGTAATACTTCCATCCCTGGAGTCATCCTAGTAGCCCTCTTCTGAACTCTATACCATGTAGGGTAATACTTCCATCCCTGGAGTCATCCTAGTAGCCCTCTTCTGAACTCTTTCTACACTGTAGGGTAACACTTCCATCCCTGGAGTCATCCTAGTAGCCCTCTTCTGAACTCTTTCTACACTGTAGGGTAACACTTCCATCCCTGGAGTCATCCTAGTAGCCATCTTCTGAACTCTTTCTACCCTGTAGGGTAACACTTCCATCCCTGGAGTCATCCTAGTAGCCCTCTTCTGAACTCTTTCTACCCTGTAGGGTAACATTTCCATCCCTGGAGTCATCCTAGTAGCCCTCTTCTGAACTCTTTCTAATAAGTCAATATATTTTCTCAAATAACAAAACCCAAACTGTAAACAGTAAAGCCTAGTTACCACTTTTTGGCTTGTAATTAATTTAATTAGCTTTATGGCTTGTAATTAATTCAATTAGCTTTACTACTAGCAACAGTGAATTTTTATAGCCTGTAAATCAGTAATCGATTTAAGTCATTCCAGGATTTTAAATCAACGAGTTCCTGAAAAGTAAAATGTAGGTTTACCAGATGGTTCCAGGTTATCCACAGGTTATGTCATATTTGGAAGCTATGTGAAGTGGCTCAGAAAATGATGTATCTTGTAAGATATAATCAGTTGATTACAGTTACTTCCATTAAACCGTAACTGGTTAAATTATTTAAAGTATTTTTGAGTTGGTCAAATCTCGGGAGATGTTATTGAAATAAAGGCTAAAAGTTAAGTTAATCCCTTGATGATTTATTGTTCCCATATGCTCTACTTATATTTTGTTGGTGGTTTACAATATTAAATACTTCACATTAGTTTGTTATAGTTGGCTTATTTTTATTCGACATTCGTTTTTGATACAAATATTAGCAAGGTGTTTATACGTAACTATTATCTATTTATGCCAGAGTACAGGTCAGAGTGATTTTTTTGCTTACTGTGAACAGTTTTAATGTTGGTGTATTATATGTTCGAGTAACATTTCTTTGTGTTATATCAGTTTCTGATTGCAGTTCGATTTGGATTTTTCCTTCTTATGGTTCTGTCGAACGCTGTGATGTGGATACTCTTTACTAAGGCCTTATGTTCGTCTTCAACGACAATTGAAGCAACTTTAACGAACACGGCAGCAAATTTCTTGTTCACCGTGAGTTCTCTCCATGCATTAGTTATAGAAAATATTAATGGTTAGTTTATAAATGTTAGTAGCTCTGTTAGGACTTCAGGTGAAATAGCCCTAGTTATAGAAAATATTAATGGTTAGTTTATAAATGTTAGTAGCTCTGTTAGGACTTCAGGTGAAATAGCCCTAGTTATAGAAAATATTAATGGTTAGTTTATAAATGTTAGTAGCTCTGTTAGGACTTCAGGTGAAATAGCCCTGCCAGTTATAGAAAATATTAATGGTTAGTTTATAAAT